CACTCGGCAAAGGCTTTGCCGAGTGCCCGACACTCGGCAAAGTTGAAACCGAAAAAAACCTGAAAAGATGGGAATTTTTACCCAAAAAAAATGGAATTTTTTTTTATCGATGGAGGCCCCCAACGGCCAGCGTCCACCCATCTCTGACATTTTTCGCGTGAATTTCATGGCTACGTGGCCGACGCGATTCGAACCCGAGACCTTCCACTGTGCACGTACCTCCTCTACCACTACACCACACTCTCACTTGTGTCTGGATTCCGTTTTAGTTCCCAATATATTATACTAAACCGAGTGTAAATTGCATGTTTTAGGCCCTAAACGAATTCAAATAAAAAAGTTGTAAACTACAAAGTTTCATAACTTTTCGAGATCTACACTTTTAGTTTAGGAAGTTTTTCCATCCGAGGTCGTTTACAAAATTTGAATTTTAAAATTTTGAAATTCAAATACAGTTTTGCATGACAAGATGTTTTCAAATCAAAAAGTTGTCAACTACAATGTTTCATAACTTTTCGAGATCTACAGAGTTTATTTTGGTTGTTTTTTCATCCGAGATCGTTTGAAAAGTTCAAATTTTAAAATTTTGAAATTCAAACGCAGTTTTGCATGACAAGATGTTTTCAAATCAAAAAGTTGTCAATTACAAAGTTTCATAACTTTTCGAGATCTACAAAGTTTATTTTGGTTGTTTGGTCATCTGTTCATCCGACATGGTCGTTCTAACATTGTTCACAAATCTTATATATCTCTCTTGTAGTTTCATAAACTATAAGAGAGATATGTTAGATTTGTGAACAAATTTATTTTCACTTTGTTGTATGAAGAAAAGACCAAAACAAACATTGTACATCTTGATGAGTTATACAACTTTGTAGTTGAAAACTTTTTCATTTGAATTAATTTACTGCTTCAAAATGTGCTTTGAAATTTTCTTTACCGAGTGTCAAAAAAAAACACTCGGCAAAGTGACTCTTTGCCGAGTGTTAAAAAACACTCGGCAAAGAGCCTCTTTGCCGTGTGTCAAAAAAAACACTCGGCAAAGGCGTCTTTGCCGAGTGCCCGAAAAACAACACTCGGCAAACCACCTGGCACTCGGCAAAGAGTCGGTCTCCGGTAGTGTTGTAATCCTTTACTTGCTACGATTTTCCTAATCTGCCGTGTGTTTAGTAGCAAGCAAAAAGCTTGTTTTGCTAGGCGATCTGCTTAGCTCATCAAGGATTTCTTTGCCCACTAGGGCCAGCCAAGTAAGCGCTCCTATGAAGGTAATATTTGGTGCAATTACCAAGTCTATGAGTCAAAGGTGGATGGCCACAATGACTTCGACAACACTAAAATTTAACCTCCACTAGTTCCACTGGTCCCCTAGTTGGATCAAGTTACCATGGTGAGCTTCGTCAATAGGATTGTAGTACTTGTGCGTTGAATGATGGTCTAAGATACTATGGCTAAGATTCTCTGCGTGGGATTGTCAAAATACTAGTGACGCCAAAAATGAACTCTTTGGCACGTCAAGATAGTCTACAGCATGTGGTGCTAGTGGCCTCTATGTTCTACAAGCTTGGAACTACAATTACCAATGGAAGTGAGAACGATAAAGAATGTGATGTGGTTCATTAAAGTAGACAATGAGTGGAGGATTCGATTGAGCTCCTTCAAACGTGATCTAGTGATCAACAACTAAGTTGTCGTACTTACCACTAGAATTGAAAAAACCTCTACCAACATGGAGGTACTACCATAAGAGTCACTTGGTAAGGCGTCGGGGGAGGAAAAAAGCATCAACGAGGAAACCAAATAAGTACACTAAAGCATGCTCTACTTTGCTATGCAAGGATATGGTAATCTTGATTTGCGGGGCAAGCTGAGTAACGATTTCAAACATAACCTAAGGTATTTTTATAGGGTATTCTTGATTGGTGAAAATTTTCAGTGTTTTGAGATAGCATGAGTTAAACCCAAGGTGTTATCAAATACTATCTCCATCCACAAAAGAATACATTTACGTCTCCAACAAGGTTTACTATGAAAAATATTACATAAGTAATTTAATGGTATTTATTTTGTATTTATTTTGTATCATAAATGTTAGTATGTTTTTATTTAACTATGGTCAAACTTCAAATAGTTCTATTCTTTGAAAAGTGAGAATTACATTCTTTTGTAGACAGAGGGAATAGTTCATCATGTATTCAATGAATATCTATATTATGGTAATGTGTTGAATATCAGGGTTTAGGGCTTGTGCCACGTAGAATAGTTCGGATGGCCTATAGTACTATGCTTTGTATCTATTGACTCTGGTTATGGTAGCATGGATGATATAATGAATGCTCTCTACTCTATGCTGCAACTTGTGCATGACTTGATGTTTCCATGTAGGTAGGGTAGATCTTGCATACAACAACAACATATGAGAGGTGGGAATAGTCATGACCAATGAGTGGTATGAGCGTGAGTAGTGTATAAGAAATTCGGTGCATTAGTTGGAACAAGCAAATGGTCATGTTTCATTGATTGTCCCCGAGGTCACCTCCGTCACCACCTTCGCGGTCCTCATCTGATGCTTCCACCATCGAATGCTGCCATCATTCATTTGACTTCCTCATTGTAGTACCAGCTCAGTACACTACTATTGCAACAGTTTTTGGTGGCGTCAATTTTGGCTTTAAGGAGGCAGATAAGGAAACTGCCTCCGGTAAAAGCGTCACTTTTAATCAGGCTTTCCAGAGGCGGTCGGCTTAAGGCGTCCGCCTTTGTTAATGAGATTAACAGAGATGGTCATCATAGTTCGGTCGTCTCCGTTAATATATTAACAGCGCCCACCTATGTTAATCTATTAATAGAGGTAGTTGTACTAAGACGACCGCCTCCATTAATGTATTAACGAAGGCATCTAGACAATGAGGGATGGTAGCTGATGAAGATGGAGGCTCATGTAGACGTTGCACGACAGTGAACAACAAAAGGAATTGCCAGCTAACATTATCTCTTTTGTGGTATTCACATTCATTGCAGGACCTTAGGAGTAGCATGTCTAGGTAGAAGCCGGACACCACCACTAGCATTGTTGATGCCTTTGTTAGCTCCCTCCTCATCCATGTTGGCACACAAGACTCCATCTTTTGTGTAAGATCGATCGACCTTGTTTTGTGTGTGTTCTTAATCATGCCATATTCATTTCTTCCTGTAGAACGAGGAGAAGCTTTGCGAGGTGCTTGAGTTCTCCAACATGTTGCTAATCACGGCCTCATCACGAAGCACAGAGAAGAAGCACGCAAAGGCGTCTTGCATCTTGATTAGGTAGTGGAAGAAACAATCATCATAAGAACGTTGTTGGAATGGTGCCTGTGGATATGTAGTGATGTCGCCATCGCTGCTTTGTTTGGAAATGAGTTCCACATGCGGGTGACTTAAATACCTATCTATGGAAATAGCTTTTTAGATAAGGAGGACTGCGACCGACTCTACAAAGTCCTCGTTTACATTTTTTAGATAATGGATTCATTGATTTGACCTCTATATCCATGAAGGATATACATAGCCAAAATGATACAAGAGCACATAGGCTCACACCTCAACAAAGAGGAGAACACAAAACCAAAAAAAAAGGAAAAAGATACTATGACCTCGGCACATCCCTCCTTTCCGGCATCCTCTCCTGAAATGGTCAGGTTCGGCGAGTGGAAATCTTCAAGTCATCTCCGCCCCTAGTGCGCCATCGCTGTGGACCTCCGCTGGTGCCATCTTCATCTGCTTCATGTGAGGTGACGCCACTTGTTGCCGGTTAGCCCACCTTCATCCATCGTCATCTAGTTAGAACTACCTAATCAGACGTGAGCCAATAGGATCCGCTTCCGCTTTGACATATTCCAAGGCCTCCGCCGCCCATAGGGCAGCCGATGTCATTGGGATCATGGCCATCACCTCTGCCGGAGTCCTCTGTCACTACCTCTGAGGATATCCTCTTCCGCCCAGACTCCTAGGCCTCCATTGCCCCTAGGGCTACCGCTGCCGACAGGATTCGCCTCTACCTGGTCTGCCTCCTCCTTGCTGAGATCTTCACCGACACTCAGGCCGGTCTCACCAGATCCAAACTCACGGCCGCTCGATCCAGTGAATGGCGCACCAGGTAGACTGTGGGACACCGTAAGACGTCATGCCACTGTCACGTGGCCTAGGGGTGTGAATCCGTCCACAGCAAGCCAGATTCGGCAATGAGATCGCTGGATCGGGATCCCAAAGGCTCTGTCAAAAGGTCGTCGGCTCGGGTGACTCGACGATGGCATCGCGCATAGCCGCATAGGAGAACTGGGTGGCGGAGGGCAACGAAGAACACCGCGGGCGACAAAAATGTCGACGAAGACCATGCATCTTGTAAAGGTGGTCTGTTCAACTATCTCAGCAAATCACTTTTGCCCTATGGAAATAGAGATTATAGTTGTGCCTCCCTTTCAGGCCAGTGGTTACCACCACATCGCCATGTTGCCCTGTCATCCACTCTCTACCTCCTTGACCCTGCCCCACCTAACCTCGCCATCATGGTGCCCCCAACCTTAGTTCCCGTCTGCAGTGGTCTTTGGGGGTGGGGTGGGGGAGGGTGGGGCAGACATCAAACCCTTAACTTAGTGGCTCCTCTTCATTATAATTTTCTTGGAGCAACATATATGACATAAATTGAATGACCAAGAGATAGCAGGCAAATCGGCTAGAGTAATCGGACAGAGGTGTGCCAACTAACCAGCTGTCAGGTACGGAGAAAAAGAAAAGAACCAATTTCAATTTGATCAAAAGAGAAAACGGTACTCAATAAGGCATATCATCATTAGCAAAGCTGTCTAGCAGAAAAACTTGTATCATGCCATTAATACATTAGCAGATAATCAAGCAGTAGGAAACGTAGATGAAAATATATACAAATCAGTCGGGAAAGTAATTAATAAGTAACAACTAGCGCTAGCAGGAAATAAATGAAATCAAAGCAGATATGGAGTATATATCTAATAGATCTGGCAAAGAATTAAATCAAAGATGACAATAAATATAATAGCTAGTAGCATTACAGCAGTAGGGATATATACACAAAGGAAAGGAATTAATTAAAAATGAAGAGAGATACCTCCAGCGGCTTTGGCTGCTGGCGATCCGCAGAGAAGAGCTCATGGAGTTGGAGGCTGCCACTGTTGCGCCCTGTCTCCTCCGGGAACAGGCAGTAAGAAGGAGCTTCTGCCATTGCGCCTACAGCCGATTGCTCGCGCATAACCTCCTTGTGCTTGTTATCACGTCCAGCACCAGTGGAGCTCCTCCTTAATGAACTTCCTTGGCATGGATCCATGGATCACTTGCCTATATATATATATATATTTCTTAACTTGTTATAAATAAGAAAATCATGCTTATCTGTTTAAGAAACGGAAATACTGCAGATTGTAACTACAGAGATTGTAACTACATGTACTAGCACCTGTATAGTAGATCTAGAGCAGAGAAATTGAAACAACAGTACCCGCGCCCTCTTTATTTATACAGAAGGAGCACAAACCTCTCAGAACAGGAAACAGACCTGAAATTCTTGACAGAAAGAAGAACCGGAACACAGTTGAAAATTGATAGCGTAGCTGTACAGGTACAGTGCCTGCGATGAATCGCAAATAAGAGCATATACATATAAATACACACACATCGAAATATAGATTAACATGATTTGGAGACGACTCACCTCTCGATCTGCTTGAGACTGAGAAAAAGCCTGCTATATCGGAATTTAAGAAGTGAATAGCTAGAACAGAATGGGCTCTAGCTATCCTGGGTACTGCTGATTTATTCTGCTGCTAGCCTGCTACTACTTGTTAATAAAGTTAGAGTAAAGTTTATAGCCGGTCCTCGAACTTATAGGGGTGTGTCATCCCGGTCCTCGAACTCAGAAAGTATGTCATTTCAGTCCTTCAACTTTGTTTGAGTCTCGTATTCATCCAAACAGGTATGGATTCGAGGAACAGCCATGAACTTTACTCTTTGTACTATGGAAAACAATAAAAATAATTAAAGCAGTAGCACTATATGACATAATCTGGTAGTTGTGGCTTGGATTTCATCATCAAAAGAGAGAAATGTCCAAGTAACAAGCACACCATGCGTGACAGATCAGTTACTAGTGGAGGCGACGACCAGAGAAGAGAGCAGAGACCCTGCATGCATGGCTGCAGGTTTTCGTGAGGATTTGGTTGGAAAGGTAGTCACGTAGTAGTAACGGATATGGCTAGTGGCAGAGACCACTGTCAAGGCGGCCCTGCCATAGCCACAGTAGGCTACAAGATTTTGGCCGAAATTCACTTATTTCAGTGTTTCCCGACTTGCAAATATAATGTGTGTTACGGTTCAATATTTCATTTTATATGCGAGTTTTAAGAACCCAAGAATCAGTTCCAATGTCTAATATAGTTGAAAGCAAATTCTTTGTGCAACATGAGCGTCAACAAATTGATTTCTAGTTGCTGATACCCTTGTCATATATTTTGTCTATGAGATTATTACTAGTAGGTCCACCACTTGTGTACTTTTTTGTCATATTTTTTTGTGACTTTACATGGTTGGTATTTAAAAATTATTTGTGGTAACTGATAACTAGAAAATCTAAAATATCAAAAATCTATCAATGATAGAAAAGAATAATAAGCCAAATCTAAAAGGATCCTGGTATCAAAAATATTTTTCTATGATTATTAGCAGTGGCTCTACTTCTACAAGAAATCAAACTTGCAACCCATATAATGTGTGTTCCCTTGTAAAGCATCATGGTAGATGACTTTTTTTAAGATTATATCTATATCTACTCTCTCTCTCTCTCTCTCTCTCTCTCTCTTTTTTATATATATATATATATATATATATATATATATATATAGTATTAAAGAATGTTATTTTTGTTGTTCATCTGTCACCCTCATTCTCCTCCTGGTTCTAGCTATCGGTGAGCCCTGACCTCGCGCCGTGTGCCACTGAGAATCAGCGATTGGGATGCAAAAGGATTGGATACGAACCGATATTGTTGATATCATATTTGTTTTCATATTTTTCCTCGGATTCGGCGTCAGACAAGGATAGCTAACAACTACGACGATTTGTCTCGGATATGAATACGAATAATATATGTCGAATACGGGATGAGTTCGACACGGATACTGTCAGCTATGAATATTTCTCTGGATATTGAGTAAAATCGACATCCATCTATATAAGATTTGCTGCAGTCATTTGACCGCTCTATGAGTCCTAATTATAACTAGATTATATGTGTAGAAGCAAATTATCAATAGTTCATATACAAGTCGCATTGTCATGTTTTTTGAAAGTTGAGTTGCATTATTGTCATAGCTTTCATAACTTATGCACACCTAAGCCGATATCTTATGAGTCACTACTGGATTCAGGCGCTTTGCCGCTAATGCACTCGGCAAAGAGCCTCCGGTAAAAAATCCGTCGGCAAAGAATTTTTTGCCGAGCGCCTTTTATCGGGCACTCGGCAAAGTCTTTGCCGACTCATAAGATATCAGCTTAGGTGACCGTCACGGCAATCTCGGCACTCGGCAAAGAAAAGTGACCGTCACGGCGCCGGTTGCGTTAGCACATGCTTTGCCGAGTGCCATGTCAGAGGCGCTCGGCAAAGATTTTTTTAATTTTTTTTTCAAAATTTCTTTGCCGAGTGCCCTGCCGGGGAGGCACTCGGCAAATATTTTTTTTAATAATTTCTTTGCCGAGTGCCCTGCCAGGTCGGCGCTCGGCAAATATTTTTTAATTTTTTTCGTAATTTCTTTGCCGAGTGCCCTGGCCCTAACACTCGGCAAAGAGGCTTTTTTTTATTCTATATTCACAAACACAGCATATAAGAGATATGTATAACATCTGTGACATCACAAACACAATATAGCACATATATATCACATCCATCTCATCACAAAGGCAATACCACATATATATCACATGTCGATCACACAATATCTCACATACACGACATCACAAGCATAATAGGTCCAATATCCATCGAAACAAGTTGATAGTTGATCACAGTGCATCACATGTCCATCAAGCGGTGAAAAAGAGATACAAACTACCGGTGGGGAGGAAACTGAGTGCTTGGTGAAGGAAAAATGCCATCACCTGCTTGCGCCTGAGATGGGTTATTCGAACCCGCCGACGGAGGCTGCATAAAGGACAAGAGATTGCATGTGTTAGAGTGGTCATCTAATGAAAGCACTAGTCGAAGCAATTTGGTTTCATACTCACAGGACTAGCTATAACTGGCGGCAACGGTGGAGCGAACTGCGGCACAGCTACACCGTGCATTTGCCCAAAGTTCTGCAGGAACGTCGTAATCTCCGCCAGCTGCTTGGCCTGCCTTTCCCGCTCGGCCCGCTCGTCCTGTTTTTCCCGCTCGGCCTACTCGGTCCTCGCCGCCAGGTCCCGCAGCTCCTGAGCCATCCTCTCGTTCTCGGCCTGCAACATTTCAATCGAATGTTTCAGTAATGCAAAGGTAACTAAGTTATTTAAAGATCAATGTATGAAGAGTTAAACGGGACTAACCTGGAATGCATCGACCCGCTGCTGTGAAGGGGACGGCAGTTGGCGTATGGCCGGGCCTCCGCTCGGGGTCTGTGCTCGGATCTGGGAGAGGGAGGGAATCTCGCTGGGCTCGAGGGTGCCATCGCCAATCCAGTACCGCCCATGCTTCTTGCCTTGTCCGAGCCTCATGACCATCGTCCCATTGATGTCGTCGGTGCTCGGATCCCAGTCTGGCCCATGGACCAACCTTGCCTCCAACGCATACGAACTGATGCGGGTGTGGATGCTCGGGTTGCTGTAGGACTCGGGCGGGTCATCCGGGGTGAAGGTGACAGCGGACGTCGCCTTACCCTTGCGGGCCAGACCATATGCCATGAAATTGGAGATGGACTGCCCACCATGTGACGCCGACTGCGAGAAAGACAACAAGATGATTAGAAGAAACATGCAGAATGGAGCGTCAGAATACTAAAAATTCACGTACCCATGCTTGCTTGTACGCGCCGAGGCTGCGGCTGCCTTGATTGTGTGTGGGGCTTGTCGCTACCATACGCCGCTCCCGCCCCGCCCCGTGGTCCTGGATATAACCCTCCGTGAACCACCTGTCCACGATCCTCTCCCAGCAGTCCCGATACGACGCGCACCACCATGGAATTATCTACATGTCATAAAGAATTTGAGATGTAAGAAGACCAAATTAAAGCTACTTAATCTCAAAACGAATCAGTATTCTTCTTCTTCATTTACCTCAAGGTACTATTCCTGGGTCAGCGTCCTCTGTCCTGCCTGTGTCTTGGTGATCTTCTCACCAAGGTGCGTGGCGTAGTACTTGACGATGCAAGTGAGGCGCTCCTCGTAGTGCATGTCGGTGATTCGTTTCCTGGCACTTTTCACCATCACCTTCTCCACCCTGTCCTCCTGTCCCTCTTCACATCTAAAAAAAGTCTACAGACAGACACAATGTATCAATTCATTATGTCAAAAAAGTCAAATGAATGCGATGTATTGATCAAAGTTGTGCGAGTGAGACTTACCCAGAACTCTCTCCTCACCCGCTCCTGCTTATCTCCACATGCGTCGGGGGCATCTTTGTAGTGGTCCCACGAATTGGTCGGCTCAGTGTTCCCCTTGTGCGTGACAATACCAGGGTAAAAGTGCCTGCACACAAGACCCAGGATGTGGTTGGGGTTGCGTGAGTCACCAGGCGACACAACCAGCCAGTGCCTGCACAAGTCATTAACAAACATTATTAGTTTCTCTGACAATTTTCAATGGGTTATATAAAGTAGCTGTGATAAAATCTAAAGTTACTTACCTGTCCCCTGGGGACGGATCACTGGGCGTAGGGGAAGAAGCGGAGGCCCAGGGAGTTTCGAGGGACCTCGCAAGTAGATCCTGGCCATAGTAGAGGAGTCCGAACCAGCTATGCCTCCAGCCTCGCCGCCCTGCTGTGCCTCGTCTCCCTCGTCGTCCGTCTGTCGAACCAGCTCCTCCTCGTCCGAGGAGTCCGGGGTACGGCACTCCTCCTCCGGCACGTCACGCGGCCTGACTAGAGGAGGTCGGTCCCTCCTGCTGCCGGTGCCGCTACCGCTGCTCCTGGCCCTCTGCCTCCTCCCGTCCGACGACCCCTCTTCTGCATCTAGATCTGCATCGCGTGCCCTCATGAACCTCGAGTTCACGTTCCTTGGCACACGACTGCCCGCCATCTTTGTTCAATCACCTACAATTAAAAAGAAACAAACAAGACATATTAGTAGATGTGTTAAAAATAGATGC